AAAAATACCGTAGAATTAAATAAAATTTTGCAACCTCAAAATACCGTTCTGCTTACAGTAAACACAGTCGGTAGTCTGGCGCTCCGTTGACAATGGATTTGAACGGAACTTGGCGCCAGATTCTACCGAATCTGTGGATTAAAAATTCGATCCTGAGCATGTTTGATTAGATCAAGTGTTTCTTAAGTTAGTAATGAAAATTCTGCGCTTAATATTGGATATACAAAAAAAATCTTTTTGTATATATAGGAAATTTAATTCTCTACAAAAAAGGTCCTTATCACTATATCACTTTTTATCACCAATCGTCTGTAATCAAATCAATTTAAATAAGACTGAATAGCATTTCACTCAGCTTTAATTTTTATAAATTTTAGTGAACTTTATTCTTTAGTTAATTACAATCTAACATAGTAATTGTTGCCAGAAAAAAAAAATGAATTAATCCTATTGCACCTAGTACCATTCATCATTTTATTAAAATTTTATGAGTGGCTGGTCACTATATGGTGAGTGTTTGCATTTCATTCTGCACACACAGTTTTATTTTAAGAGAATAAGCTTAAAATTTATTGTATGATTTATCGTATGACGAAATTGATTTCCAGATTTTCGGTCGTGACATACTATACCCTTCGCGCTTAAGGCATTCATAAAAAAAAAAAAAAAAAAAAAAGAGCCCACGAGACATTTTTACCGCGGTAAAAATAGCGTTGATGATTAAAAAAGGAGATAAAATATTTCATTCGTAAATTATTATTTAACCTTTGGTGATTAAATACTTTAAGTGGAACAAAGGATACAATGTGATATATACAATATAAAATAAAGTGCCGAGGGTGTAGTTATAGTGGGCTCGAGAAGAGACACGCGGCGTGGAGAACGTAAAACATCTGTCGGCAATCTGGAGGCTGTAATCTCCAAAATACAAGAGATGCCGTGGCGATCGCGCGAGACAACTATTGCAGGAAAGGATAAGAGGAGAGAAACAAACACACAAACTAAAGGAAACTTTTGGAATTTAAGATAAACAGGGGATTAAATGGATAGCTCCAGCTCAAGGAAAAGGACGGATTGGGAAGCGGTAAAAAAATTATATCTGCCACTGTAAGTTAGGCTTTTTTCTTCGCTTACCAGCTCTTTTCTCTTTTTTGAGACTCACGGGGTGAAAGACGCCACTGAATTAAGGTTAGTGTCTGCTGGATCGTTTGATATGCCGCCCAATCCCTATTTTTATCTCTTTCGATTTCAATTTCACTTATTTTTTATTAAACTTCTGCAATTTGTCTCATTTTTAAATTTCTGTTTTAGTTGCATTTGAAAGCAACAGAATATATTAGAAGGTTAGATTCGTATAATGCACTCAAGGCGACATTTTTACGGCCATATACGTCAGATCGGAGTCATGCACCCACATTAAAAACAACAAGGACGTTGTTGAAATATAAGGTATGATTATGTGGGCGTTCAACCTGACGATTGGATCTACATGACATGAATTTAAATCGATTGCTTTTATTGCTTTTACATATTGCTGGGGAATATGTAATTGATATATTACTGAGGTAATGTTGCCGTAAAACAATGTAACTATTTGTTGTACTTGATTGAGGAGAAATATTGTTCAAGAAAATTATTTTTAAAAGAACCTTATTTTTTTATTTTAAAATTTTAAATCTTGAAACTAGCTTTCTTACACGGAAAAGAAAATGCGGTAAATCCAACTACACTTGGAGTAGCATTTACCACAGGATGGACTAAAGTATATATACGCTATAGTGTGTTTACGGATGATTTTCATGTGTTTCTGTGACAACTCCAAGTGATGTTGGATTTACCGCACGTTTTTTTCCGTGTAGCTTGGTCTGAATGATATTAAGTAATTTGCTACTTTTTATTAGGAGTTAGTTTGTGGTTTCGCCACTAGGTGACTACTCCTTCTCGCTTATAGTAAAATCTCACCAAAGTATATGTAAGGGCCACAATTTTTGCAAAAAATAAAATACTTTATTAAGAACTATTTTAAATGGATTTTGTAGTTTGATATTATTGATACAGAATTTTATATTAGTTAATTAAATATTATAGAATATTACATATATTACAAAAAAAACTACTTTATTGTGAATAAACTATTAAAGATACAGGAAAATTGATGAAAACCTTTTTAGTAATAATTGTTTCAAAAGAATTCACGATATTGCATCGTATAAATTCGTATGTTTGAGCTCTGGTCCGGCACTACATTGTCCTATACAAAAAATTACGATATTTCCACAGTAATTTTAAATATATTTTTTTTCCGTGTATCTTATAAATTTTTCGTATTTCTTTAATTTTAGTCGAAATTTAAGTTCTAAATTTCTTGAACTTTTTTTCTCAAAATTTTAGGGTGAAATAAAATTTATTTTATTTAAAAACAATATTTGTGGTAAGTTAAAATTGAAAAATTTTTAAATGAAGAACTTGTTTTCTTTATCCTCTTTGTTCTATTCAAAATAGTTTTTTTTTTTAAGCCTATGCCCCATTTCCTGACAAAGATGTCTTAATTATTGTACCAACTAATTTGGCTAATTCTTAAAGTAATTTTCAAGATACTGTCGAGTCTCGTTATGAGTTCTATAAGTGTCTCTCATATTAACGCGAGTCTGGTTAAAAAAAAGAAAACAAATAGGACTCATAACGAGACTTCACTGTAATATTTTTCATGAAACAAATAACTTTTTGTCTCTTATTTCAATCATTATTACCATTTGTTTAAAATATAGTTTTGATCGTTAGCTTTTCATATATTGTTCTTATAAAAATCACTATACCAAAAAACCGCGTGTAACAACTCGGAGCTTTTATTTGTAGTTCTATATTTTTAGTTCTATTGTGCTGAAAGGCCAGAGAAAAAAGGGACATCACATGTATGTAATGTCAGAGAGAATTCAAGCACAGAACAGCGAGACTATAAAGAGCAAAGAAGTTGGCAACGGGAGTAAAGAGTGAAAGACCGGGATGAATTTTCCACGTGTGTGTGGTGAGTGCCAGGAGCAGTGAGTTGGTACGTGATGAGCATTTCCATACGCGGTACAATGTCACTAACATTACATTTAACATTTATTCTAGTTCTCACTCCAGACACGTTATATTTTCAGTATGTACGGCAGATTGTAACATTAAAGACGCTTATCAAGATGGACGGGTTTGTAATGGAACGATCGTAAGTTTTATCTTGAGCGTGAGATTTTCAACCTCTCACCAGAATATTAATGCTTATTCTCATTTATAATTTATAAAAATATGTTATAAACTATCAATTACTGAGCTTCAGTTCAAATTTATTTGTCTTTTTGTTTAACAATTTTTTAATTTCAAAAAAATGTATTTATATTTTTCAAAATTGGAAATGAACACTGCTAACATGCTTTTCATGACCTTAAAAATAAAAAAAAATTTGGAGCTTATATATAATATATATAATGTGTGCTTATATACAATATATATAATTATATAATGTGATAAAATAAGTCTGCAAGGGAGAACGTAGCCACCTAGCGGCGAAACAAAGAACAAACTTATCATAATAATAATAATAATAATAATAATAATAAGTACTGTCAATTACCTGCTTCACTGGGCTTGAGTTGAAATTTGTTTGTTTATTATGAAAACAATTTCATAACTTTTAATCAGCATTTACTCTTAATTATGTTTTTAAGGACTTTTGTAAATGTTTATAATTTTTTATTTTAAAGAATAAATGCTGTCATTATTATTGAAATCCCTTACAAGTTGATTTTTAGAAAGAAAAATGATTTTTAATTTTGTATACCGACATCTCTATCATCATAATCAAAATTCTATTTAAATTTTGAAATATCAAATTAGTCAATCAGCAATACAATCTTTTCGTTTTATTTACTTAAATAAAATTACTATAGGAACGATTTTTAATAAAAAGTTATTATTTTCTGAACTAACAAAAAATCAAAAAAAAAAAAATTATTAACTTTGAAAGATTATCTGATAAATTTGGCATTTTAGAAGATAAATTAGATGTCTATTGATCTAATAATTTTTTTTCGGTTAGGCATTTATGAAAAAGATCTCTTTATTTATTAGTACAGGTATAGATTATTGAAGATGATATTTAATTTATTATTCGGATATTTAAAAACTTTTGAAAATATTTATCATTTAAATTTTATTTGATATTTAATAAAATATCATTGAATAAATGAATGTTGATTGAAATAAGTAATTAATAAATCCCTAGATTTTGATTTTGATTCTCCGTAAATGACAATCGAAAATATCGTATTTTTTATGTATAAAAGTTATCATTTCGTTACCCAAAAAAAGTATTAGGTTAGAGATAAGTAATCGAAGATGTATAATGTACTAAAACCTGCGTCTGAAATGTGCTGCATTTTTTGGTACAAGTACTACGTATATTGGTTCAGTATTTGTTCCAATTAGGCATTTAAAAAAACAGTATAGATTACTAATTAGAGAAGAAAATTTCAAATTCGGCGTTTGCAGCAAATGTGCTCTTATTTACTATCCAGACTGGCTAAGTTTCTGGTTCGAGATTGCTTATTTTTATAGCCCGAAATAGACTGATGCGCATGCTCTCATGAACATTAGTACTCAAGAGTAAGCGCAAACTTAGTAAGAGGGAATTAATATCAAGTAAATGAAAGTTATATTACTTATTTCGTAATATTTTACGGTGAATTAACATTTTTTCGTTAGAGTACCAGTTATAAGTGACATTTATGCCCAAGGCTAATGCACCGCGATGAGCAATTGATATATTTCGGTGACTTATATTGGCTATCTTTAAGTCGCTTTCATTTTGTTTACCAAAAAAAATAAACGCCGACACTGTTTTTCGCCTCGCCGCTTAAGACAAATATTTAAAGATTCGGATTCGAAGATAATTCTGGGGGGAATAAATGTATTTGACTTTTTTTAGCGGGTTTAGTTTAAAAAAAGACTAGTTGACTCACCAATATCGGGCCGCCGTCCTCGAGAGATGTAGAAACAGTTGCTCCAAACCACTGCTGTGTCTTATTGTCGATTTGTATCAAGTTGTACGGTGGATTTGGGTTTTTAATGTAGTTGTTTTCTGCAGAAAAAAAAAATTTACTTTTAAAAATGACCGCTAGGTGGCTGCATTTCTCGCAGTTAGAATCAATCACTGGATAATATTTTATATTAAGGGATTTTTAAAAATTTTTAGTTTTGATGTTTTAAGCTAGAGATGTCTGAGTTTAAATTCTGGCTGAAATATAAGAGATACGAGGAAACTGATAAGGACCATTTTTATAGAGAATTTGATTCCCTGCAAAAAGCATTCAAATGATTTTTTCGTATCCTCAATATTTAAACCAGAATTTAGATTTTAAACTTTCTAATCACGAGATCTAATCCGAGACGATTGAAATCAAATGTGAAATTGAAATTCCGGCTAGATAATGAGAGATAGATAGAAAGTGATAAGGACTTTTTTGATAAAAAATTAAATTTCCTACAAGAAAAGTCTTTCATGATTTTTACGTATCTTTAGAAATTTCAACCAGATTGTTAAGATTTAATCATTTCGTATTTCGTATTAATTTTTTGACAAAAATATAATCTATACTTCTTGAACTTATGATTTAGTGATTCTGAATTATTTTGATCGTTTCATTATCACCAGAAAATATCTTATATTACCGAATTTTTTTGGATTTTTGAACTTTGATTGAAAAGAAGATATCATGCTTACCGCAAGAAGCCTTTTTCTAAAGAACCGTCCACTTGATTGTCTACAAGAGCTATAAAAATCATTGTTTGCCAAAAAAAAAAACTTATAATTATCATATTAATCAATTAAAAAATCTCCAGAAAAACTTTCTTTTTCCGGTCTTCCAATTGCGTATCATTTTTTAAGCAAATATTTGTTAAAGTGACGATTGACTAGATATTTGTAATCAGTAACGATAATCAGTGACTTGTATTATTATTAAACAATAAACTAGCACATAAATCATTTAATCGGTTATATTTTTGTAGCATTCAGATAACACAATGAGTTCTCGTCCGTGACGGTCGACGAACTAACGGAAACAACATTTCCCTTTGCACAATAGCGAACTTCATTGCGAACTTCAAGACAATAAACAACAAATAGTTATTAATTTATTTAGCCACGGAAGCCAAGTGTTGAAAAGATCTGACACTAACGTAACTTAATATGAATGCTCTCAAGACAAGGCTATAAAATTAAAAGAGCTTGAGTAACTATGAAACAAATGGTATGCCGTGAAATATTATACGGATATTAATCTCCTGCATATGAGAAGCGCAACACACCTGCCATCTACAATCAAATATATCAAGCTGATATTTGACATGTCTGATAGGGGTAATTTTTATGGTTCAAATTGCTGTTGCCTTTTTTGCATTCTCATAGAAAAAAAAAAAAAAACGAAAGTTATATTCCCAGTATAGAATTTTAATTATTAGTATATGTTAGATTGTAATAAAGGCATTTCAGTGACCGCAGTCACTTAATCGAAAAATTTTCCCAATTATAAAAACTGACTTGAGCTTTAATAACATACTAATTGTTACTATTTTACATCCAGGAAAATATAATAACAATCGAACTTATCCGTTTTTTATATTGTTAAATTTATTATGTGCTATAGACCTACACTTCCTATAATTCAATTAGTAAGGTTGTATATAAATAAATATATTATGGATTTATGCAAAAATTCAACCAATAATTGCACACATTTTTAGAAGAAATATTGAAATAATCAAAATGTAATAAGCAATTTTGTTTTGATTTTTCCAGGATGCTTTCCTTTTATGAAAATTAATAATTTGCTTAATTATTAATTTTCATAAAAGCAATTATAGCTATAAAATAAAAAGTTAAAAAAATAGTAAGTTCTGATATTAAATCAAAGCGAATTGAATAAAATAAAGAATTTTCATTAAATGCAATGGAAACCCTACTGAGTTTAAATTGATCAGTTTTAAAAGCCACATTATCAATAATATTTTTCATTGCGATTTTCAAAATATAGAATTAAAATATTTATTTGAACTGTTAACTTTTATACTGTTGTGAGTTTGAATATTCGATGTTCCGTAATTATTTATATTTAATGGTTATTGTTTAGCTCTATTTATTTATATGAATGAACCTCTTATCATTTAGCCAGAATTTTAATTTAAAATCAGATTCTAATCGTGTTTGACTATACCAGGTGTCACAAAGGTATAAAACCAATATTCTGGGCTGAATATTGGATATGTAAAATTCAAAATAAACTTTTTTTGCAGGAAATTAAATTTTTTATAAAGACGTTGCTCATCAATTTTTACATACCTCTTATTATTTAGCCAAAATTTGAATTTAAAGTTCAATTTCAAGCTTAACAAAAAAGTCCCAAGAAACTTTTGTGTAGAAAATAAATTCTCTACAAAAAGGTCTATATTATTATGTCATTTTTTATCAGCAATATTCTATAATTATCAATATTTAATGCTTACATCATAACTGATTCATTCATAGTAATAAAATCTATGTTAAATAAGACTGAATAGCATTTTACATAGCCTTTATTCCTCCAAATTTTCATGAAATTTCTTCTTTCGTCAATTACAATATAAAAGAATAATAATTATCACCAGAAAAATAGTAATGAATCCTATGCTACATAGTATCATTTATGATTATATCAAAATATACAGTTGGCTACTAAAATAGTAAATATTACTACTTTCTTCTTTCTGTTTAGCATGAATCAAAAGAAAAATTACTGAAAATTAATGTAATTTTTGATAAAACGGGAAAAATAGTTGCTAAAAAGCGTAATACTGTAGGTAACTGAACTGACAAGTCAAAGTGGAGAAAACAGAATGAAATCCGTTAGTTGTTGGTCTATGAAAGGGAAGTAATGTGAGTTTTTTCTCGGAGTGTTTGGCTTGGAGTTAGTCTCTGTTATTTAGCTCCATGACGAAAAGATAATAGGGTGGTAACACGACAAAATGTCGTAGGTAAGGACGGACAGGACTTATCGGTAAATATAGTGCTCTGAGGTGTGTAGTTTGTTTTATGTTGTCTTTCCTTAAGTCACCTCTTACTCTCAGAAAGATGTATATAGAAGAGTTTGTACGAGTTACGGTGTTTTTCTTTATTAGGCATTGCTGGTTTGTTTTTACGCCTCATTTCAAGTAACCACCGGACGATAAATACCAGCTAAGACCAACTTGTGAGTAACCAACGCGTTATATCTACGTATGTACGTTTGTAATCGTCCAAGATGACCAGATACAAGATATCATACCCAATACTAGTCCAACAAATGTCCTGCCCGGGACGTTTGCGCTCAACTTTGTATTTGACTTCATGTGAGTGTGTTATGTTATATATATGTATAGATATAGATATAGTGTTGATGGATGATGGCATTATATATATAGCATTGATGAGGTGAATGCATCGGTGGTTAAAAAGGAATAAAGGCCAGTACAAGCTTCGGGCAAATGAGAGATGTGAGATGTGAGTGACCTCAAAGGCCACGGGTCCAGTTAATTCTTCACTATCGTTATGATTTATTTATTATTTTCAGTTTCTTTATTTGTTTAGGGCAAGTATAATAATGCACTGAAAAAATTATTTGATTATCGAAAATATTTTTATGAATATTTAAAACAATAATTGATTTAAGTATTTGCCGAATTTTTTATTAAATTTAGAACTTAAATTTTCATCAAAATATAGAAGATAAGAAAAATTTGTAAGAAATTTTATTTGTAGAAAATTTAATCTTCTATCAAAAAAGTTCTTATCGATTCTATCATATCTTCGATAGTTTACTTAAAATTTTAACTTCAACTCTTTACAAATTATTTGTCTGTAAAGCTGTAGATTATTTCAGCAGGATCTATATGGTAAAAAATTTAATTCAAAATTCTGGGTGGAATATTAGAGATACAAAAAAATTATATAAAATATTTTTCGTAAAAAATCAAATTTTCTACAAGAAAGGTCCTTATTCATTTTCCTGTATCTTTTAATAATTAGCCAGAATTTTTATTTTAATTCTTGACAAATGATTTTTCATCGTAGCAGAGCAGCTATTCTTTACCGATTATTTGCATCGGGATTTATAATATAGAAATTAATTCGCAATTGCGGGAGATAGAATTAAGTTTGGTCCTTACAGATACTCTGGTAAGATTTTTCTGGTAGTGAGAGGGCGTAGCCACCTAGCGGCGAAAACAACAAGTAACTTCTAATAAAATGTACCAATAAATTTGATATTTTTTAGACCGATCCAAGCTAGTTTCAAGATTAATTTTTGATTTAAAATAACTAATTACCTTCAAAACAATTTTGTTCTTGAATCAACAATATTTCTCTTTAATCGAGCAGTCTTTTTTCAGTAAAAGTATTCTGAAGGTTAGTTATTTAAAAAAAAAAAACTGTTGATTTATAACAAGACAAGAGAATCCTTAGTAACACCCGAAATTTTAATAACTAATGAGTTATTGTTTATTGTAAGATAAATGAAGAGAACGACAGCTGCTTTTATTCCGAGCAAATTTAAAAACAATATTATTTTTAGATCCAGTCTTTTATATTTACCATTAAACCGAATGGAAGCGGAGCTTATTTTAAATAATGACGACGGATTTGCTGCGTCTCCATAAAGGCAGATGAAAATTTGACTTTTTTAGACCGGGTTAAAAATTTTTTAATTTATACAAAGAAAATTTTAATTAATTATCTAATTATAGCGACCTAATTAATTTGTTTTTATTTTTTTTTACGTAACATTGTATTGATAATTAAGAAAAGTAATAGCGTAAAATCAAACCGACAGATAAGATTATAAATTGGAATTTATTAACGTAAATAAATGTTAACACGCAACGTTACGCGTAATTTTAAATTAGGCTTATGTGTACGACGGGAGTTGAGCTGCGCTGGGTTTCGTATCTTTACATGGAAATCGACAGTGCTCTCTGAAGCTTATATATATTCAGAACGGAGAGGACAGAACACAATACCACACAGAGACACTCGCTAATTGGATAAATCCAGCAGGATTGTATAACATGCTACAAGTTAATTAAGACCCGAAACAATATGTCTATTAAGACAAACCGCTGACAGTACTAATTCAATATTTATTTTCTATTTGGCGGCTATAAAATTTCAATCATCGATTATCTATTTGCTAGCTTTTAAAAAATAATAATCATAATTCGATTAAAGAAAAAAACTTGAACCATGAAAATTATTTTAAAATCAAATTGTGGCGAAATGATGAGAGATACGGAAAAATTGAATTCAATCTTTCTTATAGGAAATTAAATTTTCTACAAAAAGGTCTTTTATTACTTCAGTATTTAGCCTAAAATTTAGATTTTAAACTTTCTAAATACGAGATCTAATATAATAATTTTTAAATCGAATTTTTAAATGAAATTTTACTTAAATGATAAGATATACAGAAAAACTGATGTAGACTTTTTTTGTAGAGAATTAAATTCTCTACAAAAAATATCTTTTATCATTTTATCATATCTTCAGTCATTAATCTACAAGTTCAAATTGAAAAAAAAAAAAAAAAAAAGTGATAAAAACGAAATTTACAATTTGACATTTTTTTAAGGGATCATTATTATTATTATCAGTATAATTAAAAATAAGGTTAAACCAATTTCAAAACAGAAAAATAATAATAATAAAATAAAACGTCAGGAAAGTTAAAGTAACTAACATGGGTTCAACGGCAGGGTGCAAACTCTTAAAATAGATTGCTCTACATTCAAATCCGACCGGTAGACTCATCATTATGTTTAAGATCAGGGTCTACATGTACAGCAAAACATAAATTTAGGTCGGTGTTAATTTATTAAATTTAAAATTTTCTCATCCAAGAGAGCAGAAGGGACAGGGAGAATAAAAAAAAAAAATGTTACCTTTCCGATCAAATTCAACAGGTATACAACTGTCGTCAACAGCGATGTCACATCGGTAAACAGCACCACCACGGAATACATTTGGCTGAGTTGTCTGTGCTTCCGGTGCTCCTACGATGACCCTAAAAGATAAAAGGGTATCATGTAACATCATAAATCAATCCATTAAACTTAAACACACATACTACATACTAAATACTATATACTAAATATAAATTACACATGAGCGTATATACTCATTTTTTTATTTAAGCCCAAGAAATTTGAGTGCATCTCGTTTAAAAATAACCAATTAGGTGCATGCGTGACAATTTGTTAATACGCCGTCACGCAACTTAAAAATTTTAATAATTAAAATTAATATTCTAATTTTACTGACAAGCCAGACTATTGATTTCGGAAGTAATTTCTTATGCATGGATTCGAACTTGCTGATCCTCATGGGCATTAAAGTAATGGCCGGCTAAGGAATTAAGTAATTTAATTTATTTAATAGCTGAGACTGGTCAAGGGGAAAGGGAGCTAAAAAATTGGCTGTTAGCATTATTGACTAACGACCTGCTACACTTAAAGGTAAGTATGTATTTTTATCACGAACGTAATAACGCTAATGAAGAATATCATTTTATAAATACGAATAATATATTTTATTGATAAATAAATGATAAATGATAAAAAACGGAGCGTTGTTTTACCGGAAAACTATCGATTGATTAAAGTTTAAAGATGAGGGAATAAAAAATTATAAATATGAGCGATGGCTACCGGAAATGACGGCACAGATATCCTCGCGATCCCTTCACGTGCTTTTACGTTGACTAGAATATAATGAGCGGCCCTCTCAGTCATTATATTTCCTTTTGCTGCCTAGCATTTTAAAATTGCGAGACCAATTGCTTTAAATTTACCCGAATAGATTTTAAATTTTGACTCTGAGCTAAAAAATTTCCTATATATTATATTTTATTTATTTATTTATTTATTTATTTAGGTATAATAAGACCCAACAGCTATGAGGCCAATAACAGGGTCATTGAAAGTTTATACACAGTATTACAAGTTAATACATGGTATATCTTAGTAACTAAAAAGCATAGTACAAGCAGTAATTAAAATTAGATAAAAAAAAAACAAATGCATATATAAATTAGTTATTTTACATTAATTATAGAATATAATGCGATATAAATAATCCTATATACTGTACAATATGATAATTATGATAATTAATACAAGAGAATATTGAATGTTTGAGTGTTTGAAACATTATCTTAGCGACGTTAAGAGAGTAGCGAGTACGTTGGTGCTACCACTAGAGTGCTGGTTATAGCTCAAGAAGTCGATGTCATTGCAGTTTTCAGCTATGTAATTACAAATATTCAATATTCTAGATAAAGGTGAAGCCATAGATATATTATTTCTTGCAATAGATGGGTAGAAAAGTAAGGCTGATCTTGTAGAAACCTGCGGAACCGAGATGGGAATCTGTTGCAGAAATCCGGGACAAAAAATGTCGCCCTTTAAAAGTCCTAATAAGAGGATCACTGATGCACATATTCTTCTCTCTTCTAGCGTCAGAATATTAGCGTCAACACACATGACAAGATAGTCAGATTGTCTTTCAGGATAATTACCATGTTTCTTATACATGTAGTATTTAAGAAATTTACGTTGAACTTTTTCTATGTTTGAAATATGTTTTTTATAAATCGGTGACCAAATTATAGAAGCATATTCCAACTTAGGTCTTACTAAAGCAACATACAATGTTTTAATTACTTCATGATTTTTAAAGTCTTTGGTGGATCTAATTACGAAACCGAGTGTTTTGACTGCTGATAGGATTAGATTATTATAATAATCCACAAAATTGAGCTGATGATCAAATATAATACCCAAGTCCCTATAACTATTAACACGTGTAATTGGTTTACCATCTATCATGTAGTTAAAGATAATAGGGGATTTGTTCCTAACGAAAGATATTATTTTACATTTTGGTATATTTAATATCATTTTATTATCCCCGCACCAATAGGAGAAAGCATCTATATTAACAGCAATACTTTTTGCACGCCTCATAGCGCGAAGCGCGTGAGGTTGTGCTTTATACTCGACTCGTTAAGATCAAGCAATTTTGTGATCTTAAAATGCCTCTATCACAACCATATTACACTTATACAATGATATAAGTAGATGTACACCGAAAAAACACTTAAATTAAACCATCTGTTATTTTCTAAAATCATTTCATGTAGCTATTTTGAAAAAAAAAAAACGTTTTGAAAAAAATTTTACGTGGACGTCCGGATGTCACCCCATTTTGGATGTACCAACGATTACTCCCGAACAAATTGATATTTCAAGACCGGATCTTTTTTATTAGTTTAAGAATTCGATGAACTGGGTCCGTATTGCATATCAGTGGCCTAGCTTACGTATTTTTTTTTAAATTGAATTTTTATTAAAATTTACTACGATATAACCGTACAAAGCTAAATGAACTTTCCTTATTTGTCACGTGAAAACTATGGCGCCACTTGATCAAGCTAGATTTTTTTAGACTGTACTGCGTGCGCGCATGACAAGAAGAAAGGGCGCCGATATTTAAAAAAAAAAATAAAAAATACTCTGTAAGAAATTACTTAATTATAATTTTTTTTTTTAATCAATTACACAATTAATTTTTTTCTTAAAAAATGAATGAGCATTATGAGGCGTGCACTTTTAGATTTTCCAAACTTTTTTATTTAAGTTTACATCAGTGAAATTAATGAGTCTTCATTAGAATAAAAAAAATTATTGCAGCTTACCGCACACATGGAATAAAATTATTATTGGTCATATTGTTGTCAATCGAATATTATTATTATTTTTATAGGTTTTATATTTATCAAAAACTAAATTTTTATTAAATGAAATTTAATGTTTAATTAATTTTTTTGATTTAATTTATTTTTGAAGGTTTTACATCTAATATTTAACATATTTTTACAAATAATAAACTAATTGCATAAAATTTTATTATTTGGAATGACAATTGTATAAAAGTTAGTTAGAATTAACAGTAATTGAGCTACAACTGATCAACAACAAACTATATACATACTTCACAAAAATAGCCTATTTCACAAAAATGTTTCAGAATATCTAGTATTACACGACTCGTCATGCGAAGCATCAGAGAGTGCTTTACGATCGAAAAATTTTTTTCGCCTCATTTCGACAAATATTTTCATTATTTTATCCTTGTTAGTTCACGGAATCAAGATATTTTGCATACTATTGTCAAAATAATTTAATGGAGATTAATTCCATATTTTTTTAAAATTGGTTTAATGCAATAAAAACCGAAAAAAACATCAGAATAGCTCAAAAAATTTTTACTTCCGTCAAGTATGAAACCAGAAAATACTATATTTCATTTTCAATATTATATTCATTTATCCCATCAAGGATACTTGCGCATTGTCGTCCTAGTACAGCTGTGTGATATATTTTTTACTTTATTATTATTTATAATTAAATGAGCATTATTAGTCGTACATTTTTGGATTTTCCAAACTTTTTCCATTTTGTCAGTATAAAACTTTAAGTCTGTTCGTATAACGGTTACTATTCTACATTCGTAATATATATCTATTGTCTTTATCGGTGTAGCTGCGAGAGGAATGCGCCACCTAGCGGAAACTCTAAAACTGAACAAAAACTAGTAGCTTTTACCGAAGAGAGAACTTAAAAAGCAATTATTTGAAGCTAAAGTTAATGATTTAAAGATTCAAACAGTCAACCTTCACACTTGGAGTTGTATGACCGAGTCATAAAAGGCGTTGAGGAAGATGCATTGAAGCAAGTAAATATGGATGATGTAAGAAAAACATTAGCATTATGCATATGCAGAGATTGCAACAAGCTATTAAGCTTATTGGAATAAAAAGTCTTTACATAATACAATAATAATAATGATAATAATGACAAGACAAACGGTACTATTATACAGTGGAGTATTTACAAAACTAAAAAATCCAACTCAACCTTGAACCACTAATAACAGCCTACGATCAATACGCCCTATTTCTCATGTCTCGGTTCAATGCGTCCGTTCGATTATCTTTTAATTGATACGTTCCTTAATCGGACAATAATAATTATCGCACGTTAAAATAATTCAATTAACCTTCTTGCTCGGTATCATCTCAATTGTCCAATTGACAATTGTTTTATCGTTGATCGCAAATTTATGATACCCGAAAGAAAAAGTCCTGTCAAAATTACAGTAAAAACTGTTTAGTTTACAGAGTTATTTCTGCTAAGACAGAATTGTCAAATTCACATTTTTAAAAATGTTCTTTTACATCATAAAAATTGTCAAGGTGAGAATACTAATTTAGCTTTAAAAAATTTTTTAATTTCTAGTAGAAAAAAAAAGGGTGGAAGCAAAACAGGGGACTCCAAAAATTTGGTAAAAAAAAAATTTTTTTTTTTTTTTGAAAGCTCTGAAAATATTGAAAAAAAATTCAGAAAACTAAAAAAAATCTGTTTTTTTTTTTTTAATAGGTTTTTAAAGTAGTTTTTAACGTCAGCAGGCATCATAAGGAATTTTTTTTTATTTTAACCAAGATTTTTTTTTTGAATTTTTTTTTAGGATCTTCAAAGGAATATTTTTCCTTGGCAATTGCTAAAAGCGTTTGACGCTAATCAATTAGGAGTACACTGGCCTCTAAAAATTTCTTGAAACATAAGCTTCCCCATCCATATGGGTTAAAATGCAATCAGTAAACCAAAACCTTCGATCTCACTTTTTTTTTTCAAAACTTAATTTTTTCTCCTGAAGAATTAACATAATTTTTTCGTAAATATAACATTATTTGATTGTGTAATTTTTCCATTTTGATACCTGTAAATTCAACAGTTTTTCTTTGTAAACATTGTCATTATTAAAAAAATATAAATTTAACATCGTCATTTAAGTAATTTTAAGAGATAATTTTTATCCGTGCAATAGATAATCAGATTTGCATTTGTCATTCTATGTTTTTTTTTGACTGATACGGATGACGGATTGGTTTATTTTGTGCGTAAATCGTACTTGATTAAGTACGAATGATACTCGGAATAAACGAATCAATAGAGAGAGTAGTATAATTGAATGAATCATTTCCCACGGTTTACTACACTTACTTAACTGATGATAGAGATTCCGTAAATACGGCGAAATACTCTAGATTATCTTTTATATATATGAGCGTCGTTGGTGATGTATACCGTTATGCCATCGGTAGCCGGTTTCAAACAGAGCAAACGTCGGTTGTCAAGGTATTCCTACTTCGTATCATTGCGATGTTTAACACAAAAATTACCCGCGTGTCTGGTTTTAAACGACAAGCAACACATCACCGTCTCTGTTCGAGTTCGAGTCATCGTAATCGTCATCCTCTTTCTTTATTTGTGTCCAAGCCTTAAATGGGAAAACGTCATTTCATTACTCATATGACATTTATAATTCGTAATGCAGTATCATATTTGATATGTCAAATCTTAAAGGACACAAGGAGTTTCACCTCGATTTCACAAAATTTTTTGCTGGAATTGTTTTATTAAACGTTATCTGCGCTCTTTTTAATTCTACACGGAGATAAAATAGTAGTGATGTTTACCATCATAAAAATTATTCAATCTTATTTTTTATGAAATTGTAAATGATAATATATTTAGAATATGATTCATTACTATTTTTCTCGTGATAATTTAACATAGATTTTGTTATTCTGAATGAATGAATTGTGATAATATTGGTGATAAAAAGTGACAATGATGAGGATCTTTTTCGTAGAGAATTTAACTTCCTATATAAAAGGTTTCTTGGGATTTTTTTGTATCTCCAATATTTAGCAAATTGTCTAACTCCATTTTGAAGAACCTTCCATTTGTACCGAAAAACAATTAGTTAAAAGTTTATTGTCACTTTAAAAAACCATTTAATATCTAATAGAGGTATAATATTTTGGTTTGGATCATTCAAATAATTTATAATAAATGTTAAGAAATCACCCTTTAAAAAATAACGAGTTAGACCAATTGCTAATTAAAACGTCGATGTGATCTAATCAACTAAGCTTAGAATCGAATTTTAAATTCAAATTTCGGCTTTTTTATGGAGAATTTAATTTCCTGCAAAAAAAGTTTCTTTCAATTTTTTCGTATCTCCAATATTTAGCCCAGAATATTGGTCTTAAAATTTAACACTTGGCATAATTAAAGATGCTTAGAACCTAATTTTAAATTGAAATTATGCCTAAATGATAAGAGAATCATTCCTATAAGTAAATAGAGCTACAGTAACCATTAAATCTGGATAATTACTGAATTTTGAATATTCAATGTCACACCAATATAAAAGTTAACAATTAAATTCAAATAAATATTTTGATTCTATATTTTAAAAATTGCACTAAAAAAAAAAGTATTTGATAATGTGTCTTTTAAGATTTATCAATTTAAATTCGATTTTTATTGCTATAACTTACTAAAAATTTTTCATTTCATTCAATTCTATTTGATTTAATAATAAATCTTACTAAAGTTGTTCTTACAGCTAA